TCATATTCTTCGAAATATAATTCCTAATCCCTAAACATTTCAATCCCAATTAATTTCTAGGTCACAAAAGAATAAAGAATGACACAAAGATAAAGGTGAATATGGTCTCACCGATGAAAATAATGAACTCCTCAAATTTATTGAAGAAAACAAGAGAAAATTATTTCACATCTTAACCATCTGAAACAATATAGAACAAGAAAACCCAGAACAAAAACACAAAAGAGACAAAATAATAACAATTTACATCATATGAAAAGTAAAGCAATTAAAAAAGAACAATGTTTATCAAGCTGTTACTTTGATGTTGAAAATAAGAAACAAAAAAAAACTTTCCTGTAACTAACTGAGTTTCCAAAGATGCAAGTTAAGTGGGAAGAGCTATTTCCTTTATTCAAATAACTACCCAATGAAAACCTGACATATATATGCTTTCACCCAATTCTCCTTCACTCCAATTCAACATACTTTTGCTGCATTCCTAAATCTTAAAATTTATAATTAATCAAAATTCTAAAATAGAATTAATATATTAAAATTAAAATCAAAGCATAAAGAATAAATCGTTTATGAACACATCCATAAATACATAGACATCAAGCATGGGGACAAAGGCTTGGATTTTTCGAAGAAGTGAATGAACCTTACCCAGGAGTTGACTGACTGAATCTGCAGCAACCTTACCATCTTCAACCAATTTGGTCTTTAAACTACCCGTCTTAGTATGCCTTCGCCTCTTGAAATTCTGTTAATTTGGTCCCAGTTTCATTTTGTTAATTGGCATGAAATTCTGTTTGAAAGAGCTTTGATTGATGGGGATTTATCTATGTTTTGCAGGTGGTCTATCTGCCATATTAATTTGTCAAAATAAGGCCCTACACTACACAAGGTATTGGAATCTACCAGTAGAATGAATGTTTTACATTTTTTCTGATTAAATCCACTTGAGGAAGCGAAATATCTTATGGTAGATGTGGTATTACTTCCAGCTATGTAATTAAATAATCCTTTCTTCAATGAACCACATCATGGAATAATACAAAATTTGTTTTCACTAGTCTACTTTGAACATAAAAATCATTGTGTTATGCAACTTGTTCCAAGGAAGATGATTCGCTGTTAATTTTGGTGGCTGGTAGTTAGAATGCCTCTTTATTCATGGTTGAGACACCAACAGATTTTCTATTTTCTATTTTCAAGGACATATTAGCAAACAGGTGGTGTGCACAATTTACACATAAATTAAATTAAAGAAAAAGAACAACATAGAAACCACACACCGACTCAACTTGTAAGACATGGAAGCAGCTATCAACATACCAGATTGTCCGGCCATCTCAAATTAAAATACAAAGATGAACATAGTAGGGAATTTGGAACACCTGATTGTCTGGTTGTGCACACATGGTGAGATAGAAAATCACGAGTCTATATATTTTTGCTTGAAACGACTTGCCCATTGCTTCTCAACAACGAAAGGAGCTATTGCAAAGGCAGATCAAATAGCAAACCTGGAGCACTTTTTACAGAAACAATCAGTTGCAGTGGAACACCAATTAGCTTATATTATTTTACTATAAATTTTCTTTTACACATTACTCAGCCAAAATAAGTGTTTGTTTTATTTGTCTAGATTTTTTACTTTACATGTATGTAATAAAAAATTGGATATGCCAAACTTCAAAAAATGTATATATATTAATAAAAAACTTAACAAAGTAATTTTGTAACTTACAAGCAAAGAAAAAAAAAATTATATAAAAATTTAAAATGTAAAAATAAAAATAAAAACCTCATTTAGATTTTTTGCTTTGGGTACAAAAATAAGAAGAAAAAAAAATGGATATACAATGCCAGAGCAAAGTAAAAGAAATTAAAGGAATGTGAATATGATTGAGAACCGATGTTAATTTTGAATGAGAACAAATATCAGATATTCATTCTTTACGGTTACGATTTTGAAATCAAAGCCCCATGGCACAACTATCTTGGGTGGCGATAGATATTAATTTTGACTGATAAAAAAAAAATTAATAACAGATATTCAATAAGGGTTAGGGTTTTGAAATCAAAGCACCAATGGCACATTTAGATGAAGCTTAGAGTTAACAACAAACCTGAACTACGAAAAAGAGTTCTCAGAAAAATTCGATTCGACTGGAAGGGAAGGGAAAAGACGATGACTAGGTCTTTGCTCACAAACCCATGGTGGAGACGTCTAGAGAGTGAGAGCTTGTGAAGAAGATGTCGACATGGCTGAAGCCCGGATCGCCGACGAGGCTGGTGGTCCTCGGAAGCTTCAGCTGCGGTGGAAGAGAAGAGGAAGGAGAAGAGCCAACAAGAGGGCCAAACATGACTGATTTAATTTTGTTCCCCCTTGTAACCGGCTACACCGGTTCCCCTCTCAAGCCCTTTCACCATCCCTCCTCCTCCATCACGCTCACTTTCGACCTCTATGTCTTACCAACCCACAAATCATACAAATAAGATCCAAATCACACAAAAATAATACCCAAATCAGACAAAATTATATCCAAATCATACAAAATAAGATCTAAATCACACAAAATCATCCCCATTGCCACAAACTAAACCCTCTTCTAAGGACTCATATTTCTCCAAACAAACGGTATTGGAGTTGATGTATTTTGAGGCAATGAAGCTAGTGTTGCTGAAATTTTTCGGCGACATAGAAGGTTTAAGCAATTGCTAATGGCAATTAGTGGAGTTTGGTGATAATGAAGACTAAGGAAAGAGAATTATGGAGACATTTTAGGGTTCAGATGAAGAATATGGAGGATAGATATGGTAGGGTTATTAATGTCTTTTTATGTTATTGTGTAAGGGTAACATGGTAATTTTATCTTTTCCATTAATTTTGTCAAAAGACAAATGCTGACAGGGGTGTCAGTGTAATTTCTAAAACGTGAGGGAAAAAATTGTATCAAATGCAAACCTCAAGGGGTGTCAGTGTAATTTACCTTTTTTTTTTAAAGAATGATGTCATGTTGTAAACATCTTTTAAAATTTGTTGCTTGAGATTTATGTTTTATGTCTGTAAACTTTGGACTTAGTTTTGTCTTTTTTGTAACTTATGTTTTGTGGATTACTTTAGTTGGATGCTTCCATAATTTTTTTTACTATGATTGCTGTTTTCAACAGTTAAATTTTCATCTTTAATTTTATTTGTTGTTAGTATGTCAAAGTGTTATGGCTTATATATAGGATTTTTTTTTTAAATATAGAAAAACATCACTAAAAATATTTAAGAATTTTTTTTAAAAAAAATTGAAAATTTAATAATTATATTGTTAATTTATATTTTTTAGAAAATTATTTATGACATAATTATGATGTCACGGTTCGATCCGGTTCAATCCAATGGTTGAACCGGTAATCCGTCCACTTAATTAATTTTTCAAATCACTCACCGATTTGATTTTTAAAACCTTGCAGGTGGCCTTTTAATTTTTGCCAATTTGAATCGTCTAACTTTTAACAAATTGACGAAATAGCACTGGTATATTCTAGGGGTGCAACTCGGGCGGGCTCAACCCGAGCAACCTGAGCCCAGCCCGAGTTTTTTTAGGGCTTGGGCAACTATATCTTGTAATCTGGATGGGCCTGGGCAGATTTTTGATGCCCGAATTGTAATTCAGGCCGGGCTTGGACAGAATCAATGGCCAACCCGAGCAACCCGAACCCGAATTGAATTTAATATATTATATAATATATATAAATTAAATAAAAGAGTTATTCTTAATTTTTATTTTTTATTTTTTATTTAATATAATATCTAGAGCAACTGCTGTATCTTGTTTGTCTATTTAAACTAGCAACTAGTTATGATTTTTTAAATTCTTGGGCCCCTTTCAAATGAAAATTATTTTAAGTGAGGTTATTAAATAGTAAAAAATAACAGGAAAAAGAAAACTGGAAGTACCGTATATCAGATTCTTAAGCAAGAAGTGATAAAAATATGTTGATAATTGGTCTACCTACAGGTTTCTGGACTTGCGAATTTTGGGCAATTCGGGCTAACCCCCGTTCAAAATACAAAGCTTAGTCCGGGCTTGGGTAGCAATGCTCGGGTTCATAGTCGGGCTTGGACGGGCTTAGGCACTGCCAAATACAATTCGAGCTGGGTTTGGACAAACTTCCAACCCGACCGAACCCCCCGGGAATTGCATCCCTAGTATATTCCACCAATGGATTAACTAATTACATTCCTTGAAAGAAAAAAAAATGAAAATAAAAAAACAAAAAAAAGGGGATCTTTTTTTAATATTATTTTTGAACGCGACTAAGGGAGGTCCCGCCGATCATTTCTACGTTGACCAACTTGGGACATTGGTGATTAGTTTCCTCTCTCTCTCTCTCTCTCTCTCTCAAACCAGTGTGACTGCTGAAATTTGCTTGGGTGAGGGCTCTATACCTGCGGTGAATTTTGCTTCCAGTTTGTACGCTTTTTCTGATCTTCCTCTTCATATTCCAGACCAAGCAAGGTAACTGAACTTGAAAACAGATCTTTCATTTACTTTCTCACCTCCATTTCCCTTTTATTCCGGCTGTACTGTTTTGCTTTCATTCTTGCCGTCTCCTTTTGATTCTTGTAATCCCTTTGCTTCTTTGCTTTCATTCTTGTCGTTTTTTTTTTGGCTTTTTCATCTTGTGTTTCCTTTTAATTTCTTAAGAAAAAAAAAAGTCCAGAAATGTCTCCTTTTGATTCTTGTAATCCCTTTGCTTCTTTGCTTTCATTCTTGTCGTTTTTTTTTTTGGCCTTTTCATCTTGTGTTTCCTTTTAATTTCTTAAGAAAAAAAAAAGTCCAGAAAAAAGCCCTTTTGATTCTTGTACTGTCTTTGCTTCTTTGCTTTCATTCTTGCTGTCTCCTTTTGATTCTTGTACTCTCTTTGCTTTCTTTCTTGTTGTGTTTTTGGCTTTTTCATCTTCGGTTTCCTTTTAATATCTTTAAAAAAAAAAAAAGAGAAAAAAGTGAGAGATGGCTGAAGGAATTGGTTTCTCCTTTTTGGGGAAAGCTCTGGGGGGAATTGGAGCGTACTTGGTTGATCCGATCAGCCGACAGTTTGGTTATCTGTTTTGCTTCAACGCCAACATTCAAAGTCTTGAGACTCAATTGGACAGCCTAAAAGTGACAAGAGAAGGGGTTGAACTAGGGGTGGATGAAACACGCAACAATGTCAGAACCGTTGGACCTCATCTTGAGGCATGGCTGACTAACGCAAATGACAACACAGCAGAGGCAGAGACAATTATTAAAGACAAGGCCCAAGTTCAAAAGGGGTGTTTCAATGGGTGGTGTCCAAATCTCAAGTTGCGTTACTCACTGGGCAGGAAAGCCGTGAAGAAGACTCGGGAACTTGCTCTTCTCCATGCTGAGGGTAGCAACTACATTCAGTCGTCCTACAATCCACCACCACCAAGCACAGAACCTATATGTACAACAACAGAATTCCAGGGGTTTAATTCTCAAAATCTGGTCATGAACGAGATCATTGAGGCTTTGAAAGATGATGGGATCCACTTGATTGGGATATGCGGGATGGCTGGAGTGGGCAAGACAACAATGGCAAAAGAAGTTGCAAAAAGAACCAAAAATCTCTTCAATGAATTTCCAATGGCAGTTGTCAGCCAAGAGCCAGACCTAACTAAGGTTCAAGGGTGTATTGCAGACATGTTGGGTGTCAAACTTGATGACAGGTTGAGCCCGATAGCAAGAGCAAGTCTCCTACGCAAGAGACTTCTGCTAGACAACAAGAAAATTCTAGTTATATTGGATGACATTTGGAAAGAATTTGATCTAGAGGACTTGGGATTTCCTTTGGAAGGAGGCAGCAACAAGAGTTGTAAGATCCTTTTCACTTCACGAAATCGAAATATGTGTGTTAGAATTTACCATCACCTACCACACACTTACCATCACCTACCACACACTCACCTACTACACTCACCTACTCCTCACCTACCACCACCTAACCTACATCTATATAATCAATCAATTGTAACAGAATCAAAATCTATCAATAAATCAATAATACATAAATTACATAAATTGTTACAATGTGGAAAGGAATACGAAATAAAAGGTATATCCAACTTGAAGTCCTAGTGGGTGAAGAACCATGGCATCTCTTTAGAGAGAAGGTAGGCGATTGTGCTGACGACCTTGATCTGCTACCACTAGCAAAACAGATTGTAAATGAATGTGCAGGTTTACCACTTGCCCTCATAACTATCGGAAGGGCTCTTACAAACGAACAGTGGATTGCGCAAATGTTTTGGCACAGGACTACAAATATGTTGAGTTGAACTAGTTTTAGGCTTTGTTAAGAAAGTAATGGTTGGTTTGGGAAGTGGGTTAGTTTTTTGGTTTTTTAATTTTTTTTATTATTTTAGTCTGGGTTAAAAAGTTTGGTTTGGGAATGATTTTTTGACTTTTTGACTTTTTGACTTTTTTGACTTTTTTTAATGATTATGGGTTGGATGTGATGTTTTGTTTTTTGTGACTAAAATAGTCTATTTTGTCTTTTGTGGCTAAAATAGCCAAAAAAGCCTCTAACCCAACTTGCCAAACGGAGGCAAAGAGAAAAAAGTGAGAAATGGCTGAAGGAGTTGGTCTCTCCTTTTTGGGGAAAGCTCTGGGGGGAATTGGAGCGTACTTGGTTGATCCGATCAGCCGACAGTTTGGTTATCTGTTTTGCTTCAACACCAACATTCAAAATCTTGAGACTCAATTGGACAGCCTAAAAGTGACAAGAGAAGGGGTTGAACTAGGGGTGGATGAAACACGCAACAATGTCAGAACCGTTGGACCTCATCTTGAGGCATGGCTGACTAACGCAAATGACAACACAGCAGAGGCAGAGACAATTATTAAAGACAAGGCCCAAGTTCAAAAGGGGTGTTTCAATGGGTGGTGTCCAAATCTCAAGTTGCGTTACTCACTGGGCAGGAAAGCCGTGAAGAAGACTCGGGAACTTGCTCTTCTCCATGCTGAGGGTAGCAACTACATTCAGTCGTCCTACAATCCACCACCACCAAGCACAGAACCTATATGTACAACAACAGAATTCCAGGGGTTTAATTCTCAAAATCTGGTCATGAACGAGATCATTGAGGCTTTGAAAGATGATGGGATCCACTTGATTGGGATATGCGGGATGGCTGGAGTGGGCAAGACAACAATGGCAAAAGAAGTTGCAAAAAGAACCAAAAATCTCTTCAATGAATTTCCAATGGCAGTTGTCAGCCAAGAGCCAGACCTAACTAAGGTTCAAGGGTGTATTGCAAACATGTTGGGTGTCAAACTTGATGACAGTGTAAAACAAATTGATGTATATTATTGATTGATGTTGTATATTACAAGATTGTTGTATTGATTTTGTACAAGAATTCCTATTATATAGGAGATGAACCTACATCTATATAATCAATCAATTGTAACAGAATCAAAATCTATCAATAAATCAATAATACATAAATTACATAAATTGTTACAATGTGGAAAGGAATACGAAATAAAAGGTATATCCAACTTGAAGTCCTAGTGGGTGAAGAACCATGGCATCTCTTTAGAGAGAAGGTAGGCGATTGTGCTGACGACCTTGATCTGCTACCACTAGCAAAACAGATTGTAAATGAATGTGCAGGTTTACCACTTGCCCTCATAACTATCGGAAGGGCTCTTACAAACGAACACGACCAACATCATTGGAATAATGCGCTTCAACAACTAAGAACCCCTTGTTCAGAAAGTTTGTCGTCAGAAGTGCCTGCAGAAGTGTATCAAGCTCTATATTTTAGTTACAATTTTCTGAAAGATGAGAGGGCCAAGAAGTTGTTTCTGCACTGTTGCTTGTTTCCAGAAGACGATAATATTTCTATTGAAGATTTGGTTAGATACGGAATAGGATTGCGGTGGTTTGAAGGCATCGACAAAGTGGATGAAGTAAGAGATCGAGTGAAGGTCTTAGTTGATCAACTTAAAAGTTGTTATTTATTGTTGGATGGTAATGGCGAGGGTAGAATAAAAATGCACGATGTAGTGCGCGATGTCGCCATATCAATTGCAGCTAAAGATAAGCATGGTTTTATGACAATCCATGGTGCCAAATCGAGAGAGTGGCCAAAGAAGGCGACCTATGAGCTTAATACTTCCATTTTGGTGACATCAGATGAAATTGTAGAGTTTCCAGGAGGATTGAGATGCTCAAAACTTGAGTTTTTACTAATAGAATGCTGGAATAGTTCACTAAAAATACCAAGCAATTTTTTTGAGGGCATGGGTGAACTCAAAGCTTTGGACCTGACAATCACGAAAGACATCTCGTTACTACCGTCGTCACTACAACTCTTGAGCAACCTGTTGACATTGCATCTTGATCACTGTCAAAAGTTCGATAATATATGTGTAATTGGAAAGCTATTGAATCTAGAAATCCTCAGCTTTCGTGAATCCAACATTGAGGAGTTACCTGAGGAAATAGGAGGACTGATTAATTTAAAGTTGTTAGATCTAACAAGTTGTTATAATCTTAAAATAATAGCACCTGGCGTCATATCAGCCCTAGTCCAATTACAAGAGTTGTACATGGGTGGCTGCAAAATCATTTGGGAACAAGAAGGCAAGGAAGGAGGAGAAAATGCGAGCTTGAGAGAGTTTGAATCCTTGTCCAATTTGAATACTTTAGAGATTACTATAGAAGATGTTGTGTGCTTTCCCAGAATCCCATTGTCTAGCAAATTGACAAAATACACAATTTCGATAGGTAATGATGCTAGCACCACTTTTGCTGTTCATGACACGTGTACTATCCCGTCAGAATGCGGTGGGATCAATTCGTTGTTAAGGAGTAGTGCACTTCTACAGTCAATGGAGAAGGGTTCGGAGGATGCAGTGCAAGAGTTGTTTCGAAAGGGAGTTGAAGGACTCCAACACTTGAAGCAACTAGTAATTCGTGATTGTGCTACACTAGAATGTCTTGTCAATACAATAGAATGGGTCCCGCGTACACCTAATGCTATTCCTCCTATTTTTCCTATCCTGGAGAAATTAAAGCTCAGTAATCTATCCAATTTAAGAAAGATATGTCACTGCCAGCTTCCAACCAGCTCTTTTGGAAAACTAAAACGTCTAAAAATAAAGAATTGTGATAGAATGGAAGAAGTTATTTTGAAGGAAAAAGGAGAAGATGATGCAACAAACAAGATGGAGTTTCCAGCGTTAGAATCCATGACTTTGGAGATTCTACCAATGCTCATTGGTTTTTGCAGAGGGACTGACGAGATTGAGTTCCCTCAATTGAAGAAATTGTATCTGCGGAAACTACCACAACTCAAGTGGCTCTTCCTCAATAGCAGTAATCCGTTTTCAGAGTCAATGGAAAACCACAATGCTACCCTCCTATCTCTCTTCCCCCACAAGGTATGTCCACACGTCTTTCTTTTCTTAGTGTCTTCTCTCTCTCTCTTTCGTTCTTTCTTAATTTTTTCTGTAAGAAAAAGTAATCATTCTATTCTTATTAGGAGGACAAGGTTTTGAATCCATGGAAGCATCTCTATTACTCTTTGCAAAACTATGATTGTTCCACTTTGACATAGTTTCTTCATTCTAATAGGATTTGCTGTAAATAATTTTTTTTTTTAAAAATGTGAAAATTGAAATCTAGAGAAAAAGAAAAAGAAAAAGAAGTTAATACTGTCACAGAATGTGATTATACAATAAAAAGATCTAAATTTCTATGGGAAAACTCTGATTAGCATTACTAAATACGAGATAAACTTTGTGTGTGATTTTTTTTTTCCTTTTTCAAATAATTAAATATGGTATATTAAGAACCATAGACATGGATATGAGATGTTAAAGTCACGCTTACATGACAATTAAAAAAAATCCAAACAAATATGGATAAATTACATTTTAGAAGTCTAATTGATGATATAAATATCTCTTATATTTGTAATTACTATCTTATCAATTGACTAAAAAAAAATTTACATTTTATACATATCAACTATAATAGTTTACCCCCCTCAATTAAAATTTGTAATGCCTAACTCTCCTTGTCTACTAATTTTTTTCAATTTGGACTTTTATAATGAAAATATCCTTTCATCATTAGGATAAATTACGTTTTACTCTCTTGAACTAAAAAATAATACATTTATCACTTCGAATCATAAATTTATATCAATGTAAATATTTTGTTAAGAATATGTTTCTTAAATATATTAAAATTTGACATGTGACCTATGCATGACATCTCAAATGGAATGCCTAAAATGACATTATCAGTATATTTGGTTTAGTTTTTAAAAACTATTTTTTCATTTTCTTTTTTTTTTTGTCTTTAATGAAATGTTTTTAGTTTTAGTTAAAAAAAAAATTATTTGTAGGTACATCTATTCTGGATGCATCTAAAAAGTAAATATTTATGAAAAATTCTAAAAATTAAAAAAAAAATAACTAAAGAAAAAAAATACAAAAACATACCAAATTTTTTTTTTCATCTTTAGTGAATTTTTAAAAAATATTTCACAAATATTTACTTTTTAGTTACATCTAAAAAGTTAAATTTTCTTACTAAAGTATGAAAAAAATAATTTTTTATTTTTATTTTAGCTTAAAAATGAAACAATTTTTTAATTGCAGGGGTGGAGTGATATTGAGTGGTAGATATAGTTGAAAAAATATTTTCATCATGAAGGTCCAGATTGAAAAAAAATAAAATAAAATAGATATGGGGGATTAAGTGTTAAAACTTTTAGTTCAAGTACAATATATGAAGGGGGTAAAATGTAATTTTTCCAATAAACATTTATAAATGTGTATATATATTTCTGCATAAAAATATTAACTATTCATTTTTTACATTATATATTTATGTTTTATTATATTGGTAAGGAATCAGTTTTTACATTATAAATATTCAAGAAAAAAATCATAAAAAGAAATTTATCTTACCAATGTTGTGTTGAAAAATAAAAAAATAAAAACTAAAAAGGGGGCCAAGTTACTTTAATCTCTTGTAGTTTGGCCTATGTGCGCATTACCCCTTTGTCATTGGGAACTAATCATTTGTGGCTTGTAGACCAAAGTGTAAGCTAAAAGACTAAAATACAATTGTACATAAGTAACGTCGTTGTCCAAACCACAAGTATTTCGTTACTGTTTTAGAAGGCAAAATTCACTTTATTATTTCTTGTGTTTTACTCAATTTGTGGTTTAACTCTTACATCTTGGAATGTTTCACACTTGTTAACGTCTTTCATATCTAACCATACACTTTAATTCACAAATCATAAGGATTAGGTTATTTCAAAATGATAGAAGGTAAACCACACATAGTGTAAACCACAAGAGTAAAGTGAAATTTACCTAAAAATAAATTTAGTTCACAAATTGCTAGGAGTTATGTTCTTATTTGTAAATGACAAAGGGTAAACCAAACACAGAGTAAATCAACGAGTAAAGTGAGGTTTGTCTAAAAAAATATTTATTCTACAAATCACAAGGAGTTATGTGTTTATTTCTAAATAATAAAAAGATAAATTGCACTTCAAGTAAACCTAAGAGTACAGTGAAATTTGCCTGAAAAAAATAGGACCATCATAACATTATTGAAATTATTAAAATAATGTGTTTTATCTATAAAAGAAAACTAGAATAACGTAGTTTACAATAATTGTTCCTCATATTACCGAAACATCTTTTTCTTTTTTTTTTTTGATCGGCAAAATAAGGATTTATTGATGATTAAGCAAGATACAATCCACAATACATCAACAAATCAGGGGAGTGCACTATGCACTTGACCCATGATTGGCGAGAAGCCAATCAAACAAGCAAGAAACACAATACACCAACAAACTAGCAAGATACAAGATACAATCCACAGTCCACAAAACAGCAGCCAAGCCAGGCCACTAACAGACTGAAAATGCACCTAGCAACTGGCAAAGTGTGCTACCAACCCGCAGACTAGCAGCCACCATACAAGCCACCATACAATACAAGCTTGAGCAGCAGCTGAAGAATGTAGCATGTAACAGAAGGACACTGCCAGCTGCCACCTTCCTCAAACACATGCCTTTACCTGATCAATGTTGTTGATAAAATCATTAACCGAGTACATATTCCCTAACCTGGAGGCCTTACTCCATAAGGCAATCAAAGAACAAGTAATCAAAGAACAAGTAACCGTTTCTTAGAAGTACTAACCACTCACCAAGGATGGATTTAGGGTGCGGGTTGGGGCGGTCACACTCTAAATTTTTTTAAAAATTAGAGTAAATTATTAATTAGTCCTAATAGTTGGAAATAATTCTTATCAAGTCCTATTGAAAATAAATCCTAATAAAATCGTCATTAAAAATAATTTTCTATGGCGATTTTTTGCATGTTACTAAAATTGGAGAATTTGTGACTTTTTTTTCATGACTTTTATAAATTGTTATTAAAACTTACAATTAGTGATATTTTTCTATGATGAATTTTTCAAACTATCGCTGAAAATTGAAAATTAGCGAGGTTTTTTTTTTTTTTTTTTTTGACAATTTTCAAACTGTTGCTGAAAATTAACAATTAATGATTTTCTTTAATAGTCTTTGATAAAAAAAAAATCGTCATTAATTCTCACAAGACTTGATGAACAATAAGTTCATCTATTAAGACCTACATGTAAATCTCCCTAAAAATGATTAATATCGTACTAGTAATTAGTAAGATAATTATAAATTCGAGTACTTCGCATTTACAAAATTTCAATAGTTTGCACCCTCCAAATTATTTACATCACAAAATTTTAAAAATAATTTTTAAATTGAATTTTATCAAATATTGACCTATTCTATTTGATATCTATATTATTTGTTATATTTCTATATTGTATAAAGTTACTTGTATTCTTTTATTTGTTTCAATTTGTTACTATTCTTGTTTTTTGTTCATATGTCATTTATGGTTTTTTTTTTTTCCTTTTATAAATCACACTTTAATTTGGTTATGCATCTTATTTTACATTCATTTTTGTTTGTTCATTATCTAGAAATAAGAATATTGTCTGGAAATAAAAATATTATCTATTTTAACATGACATTCTTAAAATAAGTTAATAAAATTTAATACCACTTATTGAAATGGATTATCATTATACTCGTAAAAACATACAGTTTCAAATATATTTTTTTTTCAAAACTAAACTACATAATAAGATGGAAAATGATTTTGTAGCAAGTTACTTGATCATATTTATTGAGAAAGATATTAATTAAGGTTTTGATGTCGAGTTTAATATAGATATTTTTATATATATTATAGAAAGTGACGGTTACAACATTTTCAAATAGTTAACTTTACTAAACAAAGACATAGTAATAGTTAATATTTTGTTAAATTAATGTAGACAAGAAATATTTCTAACTATATTTTTATTTTCAATTATGTTAACATAGAATGTCCGATTAATAGTAATATTATTTATTTATTGTGCTGGTATAAATCAAAATTTATAATTTATAATAATTTTTTCGATAAAAAGTTACATGTGTTTCCCCCCTCCAAAACTCAAATTCTAGATTTGTCCCTGCCACTCACTCTGTTTAGAAATGAGCTAAGATCTGTAGAAATGGTTTTATCACTTGGTCATGGATAGAAATTTTATTATTAGAACGTAGCTTATTCTATAGTTTGTTTCTTTAGATGAATGACACAGTCATTTGTTTCTCTTCTTTCTCTTTTCATTGTCAAGGATTAGTTTTTTTTTTTTTTTGGTTTCAATAACCAAATGAAAAAAAGGCAATCATATCTTATTTCATTCATTTAAACGTTTTGGTTGTAAAAATTATTGGTCATATATGCAGACTAGAAGAGGAGAGACAGGGATAGAGTGATATTCCATAGCCATTCCTACAAATCTTATAACTACCACTGACAAAAGCTTTATTTTCAGGTTGAATTACCTAGCTTGGAGGAGCTAGAACTCAAGGATCTTGACAATCTGGAAGGGCTGGGACATATTCCAATCTCAGTGGGTTCCTTTTCTAAACTTAGAAAAGTACATGTAGAACACTGTGGCAAATGGCTCTGTGTTTTTCCATCGCAATTTCTTACGGGGCTGCGAAATCTTGAAGATCTAACTGTAGAAAATTGCAGTTTACTAGAGAAGGTGTTTGAATTGGAAATGGTGGATTGTAAGGAACAAGAATCAGAGATGTTCTCGCTCTTGAAATCTCTAAAATTAAAACATCTACCCCAACTAGATTATATTTCAAAGAGAGATCCCATTGGATTTACGTACATTTCACAATTAAGCATTCTACATGTTCATGACTGTGATAACTTGAAGTATATGTTCCCACATTCCATGATGAAATGTATGTTACAACTCCAAGAATTGGACATAAGGAGATGTAAAATGATGTCAATGATTGTTGCAGATGAGAAAGGGCAGGGCGAAAGCTCAGTGGATAAAATTGAGTTCACTCAATTGAAAATTTTGCGGCTTTATGATCTACCGAACCTTGTGAGTTTCTTCCCCAAAGTGATTGCTACTTCGGCTACATCAACAGAACGGCTCCAAAATGTCATGCAAACTCTATTCAATGAGAAGGTAAAATGAAGCAAAATGCTAGTGAAACCAAAGCTACCTTTTACAATGGTTTGTATGATTTTTTTTTAATTTTTTTTTTTTTTTAAATTTTTGTTTTGGTTCAAGTAACAAAATGAAATGGGCAATGATATCTTATTCCAATAATTTGAAATTCAAGGTTAAAAAAGTTATAGTTAACACGTGCAAAGTACATAGAGGTATATATCTCATAACCATTCCTACTATCATCATACTGCAACTAAAAGAATGAGTTCTTTTCAGGTTGTGTTCCCCACTTTGGAGGTGCTAGAACTTGAGCATCTTGACAATCTAGAAGGGATGGGACACTATCCACCTTCATCGATGTCCTTATCCAAACTTAGATATGTAGATATACGACACTGCGGCAAATTGCCCAAAGTTTTTCAAGCACAATTGCTTATGAGGTTGCAAAATCTTGAAGAACTATCTATCGGGGATTGTAGTTTGCTAGAGAAAGTGTTTGAGTTGGAAGTGGCTGGCTGTACGGGACATGACTCAAAGATATTCTCGTTATTGAAATCTCTCAAATTAAAAAGTCTACCCCAATTGAACCATGTTTCAGAGAGAGATTCCATTGGATTTATGTACAGTCCACAATTAAGTAATCTACATATTGATGGTTGTGACAACTTGAGATTTCTATTCGCACAGTCCATGACGCAGTGCATCCTACAACTCCAAGAATTGGAAATAAGGAGATGTAAAACGATGTCAACAATTGTTAGGGAGGAAGATAACCATGGTGAAATTTTGGTGGATACTGTTGGGTTCACTCAATTAAAAATTCTGCGACTTTATGATTTGCAAAACCTTGTGAGTATCTTCCCTAATGTGACTACTACTGTGGCGACATCATTTGAACACATCCAGAACCCAGGACAAAGTCTCTTCAATGAAAAGGTGAATGATAGAAGTTGAATGCTCTAATGACACTAGAGCAGTAAATCTTTTTAAACATTTTATATTACTTTTAGTAGTATGGTTGTTAATGCAATTGTTTGGTTTGCAGGTTGCATTCCCTAGCTTAGAGGAATTGGAACTCCATGGATTTCAGAACATGAACGAAATATGGTGCAATCAACTTCAGACCGGCTCATTCAACAAACTAATTAGACTGTATGTCTCAGATTGTGGTAGTTTGAGAAATCTGTTCTCTCTTTTTGTGGCCAGATGTCTTGTGCATCTAGAAGAGCTAATCATAAATAAATGCTCGATGATGGAAGAAGTAATTGCAAAGGAGGAAGATGAAGAAGAAGAAGAAGGAAGGATAAATAGAATTCCATTGCCTAAATTGGAGTATTTGGTACTCAAAGATCTACCAGAGCTCAAGAGTTTTTCCCATGTTACTCATGATTGGGAATTGCCATTGGTAGAACACATCACTGTCCTCAATTGCCCTGAAATGAAGACCTTCTCTCTTGGAGTCATATGCACCCCAAAGTTGCAACGTGTATTTGTGAAGAGGGAAAGGGACGAGTGGTACCCAGGCAGAGAAGGAGAAGACTGGCTATGGATAAGCGACCTCAATCAAACCATACTGCACCTAATTGAAAAGGTATGTTGTTTATATGATTACTTTTGTTTTTCTCTCTCTTTTTCTTCCATTAAGTGCATATGCCACATTTTAACGTCCAAGTATCCAAAAAGGAAAACAAGCTGTGTTCTAAAGTATGAAAATTTCTTTTAAGCTCAGTTTGCATCATAAATTTGGATAGAAATTTTTTTAAAAAATAAATAAAGAGAAAATATGAATAAAATATAATTATATTTCACACACTTTTTCTTTTTTTCTTTCTAAATCTCTATTCAAATCTATGATTTAAACACAATCATAAAAATTCAAAAAAATTGAATTTACTGTATAGAGAGCTATTAATTCTTGTGCTATTTAATATATTACTTGTGAGCATTACTCTTAAAATTATTATTTAAATTCATGATTAATGATAGTACACCTGAAGTGTACCCAACAATTCACCCACTCCTTTTTACTTACCAACTAATACACTACCCTGTATAAATTTTAAGATCTACTAACTTATAAAAGCATTGAATTTGTATGGTTGTTTATAATAAAATTAGAATAATTTTTCATATACTAACAATCTTATTAAAAATATAAGAAGTTAGATGTGATTGGTTGTTAAAAAAGTAACGATACTTAAACATCCAATGATGCGGTGAAATGTATGTTTTTAGTAAAATTGTTAGTAAAAATTTACGTACATGTAGTGTAACGCCCTCAAAATAATACGTAAAACCCATCACTTTAGACATGCATTGATATAAAAGAAACCAACCATCTTTCCATTTATCAGAGTAGTTCTTACAAAAGTATTACATGTTAACAACAAAAGCAAGTGCCCTACGAGCTTACAGCTTTCCAAATTAACACTTGGTTACAAAAAGAAGAGTGCTAACTCAATACATATTATGCCCTTGGCTTGAATTTACATGTAATACATCAAAAGAAAGCAAACAACAAAAGCAGTCTGTTTGCCTCTAGCCTCCCAAGGTATGTCTTTGGAGGTGGCATGCTACCTGTACCTGAAAATGATGTCCCATAAAGGGTGAGCCACAACCCAGCAGAAATATACTAAACCAGCTATGAACAATGACTAAAAGATTAGCAGTTGATAGATGGTCAACACCGATATATTCACTTACATCACATTTCAATTTCATGATATTTAAGTCCATGTTACACTTCATTTCTCATTTCTTTTTCAACCTTGAGTTTGAAAACAAGGCTCAACACTTAGTCAAATAACTTGATGAGAATAAGACTCATCTTAAAAACACTTTCGAAAATTCATGATGGATACACATTTTGATGTTGTATCAATAACACATAAACTACTCCCATACTATACGAACGATACACATTTTGGTGCTGTATCAACATAACATAGGAACACTCCTATACTTCACAATTGATAACGATACACATTTTAGTGCTATATCAAATCAATTTAAACACTTCCATAATCAACACTTGATACACATTGTAGTACTGTATCAATGTCACACGAAATCCGGTTTAGAGGTTCATCCCCTATCTTCCCCTAAACCATTGAGTACATCCCCTATCTCCTCCTACACACACACAATGTATATAAACATAGATCATATACATAAACAACCAATACATAAAGTCGATGTATTATTCCAACCGCTATATTCGATAGCATACTCAATCGATTAGTTTTAGTTTGCCTAATCATCATGTGTTATCTACAACAATCAAGATTATCCTCCACCGATAGTCCAAAACAGTTATTTCAAAACAGTTATTTCTAAACAGAAAATAAATGCTCCAAATGGATATTTTATCAACATTCAACTTGGGTGAGCGATTAAATGAATCCAACTACACCCATTAATCCCATAATCTTTTCAATTTGAATACTCTCAATTCAATTCCTCATTTCTCAAAATTAATTATACAAATTAATTTATCCAACTAATTAGGGCATTTTCCCATAATTAACATAACAACCCCAAGGTTCCACTTTCATCCATAGTTCATCATCTATATCATTTCTCTATGCCAAACATGCATATAGGTTTAATTATAAATAAAACCCCATCTTTTGTAAAATTACACAAAGGCCCAAACTTTCTCAAAATTAAAGAGAGATTGGCAGTTGGATGGGCGTTTTAAAAATCATTTTTTTTCTCTCTCTCTCTCTCTCTCTTACTTTCCAAAAAGATATTTCGAGAGCCTCTCTCTCTAGAAACTCCCTTCTCTCTAGGGTTTGATCTAGTTAGAGTGTCTCCCTATCCTTCGGCCTTGTAAAGAGTGTGTTGATCGTCGAGGGCTTCGTTTTGATCTAGAATCTTGGTGTTTGGAGCATTTTCGCTTTCTTCTCCTTCTCCGTTTGAGCTCTAACTTCGAGGTAGGGATATCCTACTCCTCCTGATGAGCTTTGTCTTTGAATTTTAGCATTTTGATATGTTGGGGGTTGTTGGGT